ATGGCCCGGCCACCGAGAAATCCATCATTTTAAGAATGCAATTACTGAATTTCCACAGGTAGGCTGCATATTACCAGAGCAGCAATCTGTTGCAAAAGGTAGCTCCTGTTTGTGGATTTAACAAGGCTTTAATAAATAAAGCCTTGTATCATTGGAATTCACGTAGAGATGCACTGGTTTTACAAAACTACTATTACTTCCTTCCTCTTTCCTTACCATAAAAATGGAATTTCAATATACAGGAATGGGAGAGGCAGCCGACAAGTTTTGCATTTTCCTGGAAAGCTGACCTGCTCTGGTCCTAGTGGGGAGTCCAGGCTTGCTACCAGATCAGTTACAATCCCCCCCCCAAAAAAGAAGGATGTTGCAGAACCGCAGTCTTCACCCATGCGGTTCCTTTGTTAGGTTTTGGCCAATATGAAACATCCCGGAACGTTATGCTACTAATACACGGTGCGCGGGGGCTGAGACCAACGTCAGGCGTCGGAGGGATTGCATCTGGGGATGTATTTGAAGCAGAACACACCAAGAGGATTTCGTGGGGATAAAGGAAGAAGAAGAAACGGGAACAGGCTAGCTGAAAGTCATTTTTGCTGAAGTAAACCTGCTGTGGGAACACTGGCAAGGACTGGCCTTAGCTGGATTTTTCCCCTTTTGATTTGCATTTTCGTTTCCACTCTGTTTTTCTTCATGTATTTCCTTCAAGGTCCGTTGCGGTGACTGTTGAATCCCTTATTTCACGTAATTATTCCAGTTGCTTCTTACTGGCATTGGCTGGTCGCGTTTCAAATGGAGAAGAGCACCTGAAGGGTATCTAAAACTGCCCAGCTGAACAGAGAAACCTGTTCATACTGGGTAAGCGCATTGCCCTGAGCGCTGCAGGGAACGAAAATGCCGATAGCTTGCAATACACATAGGAAGAGAACAGCTCCATACATACTTTCCTCCTCAAGTAGGTCTTGGCTTTCACGTAATTTCGCTTGCAAGGGGCGTTGGTAATTCTTAAAGGATTACACCAAAGCGTCCGAAGTTTCTGCTGTAGTTTGGCGAGTGGCAGACTGTGCCGCTCACAGCCTGCGGTGCAGACCACAGGCGTTTCCTCTGTGTGTGTCTCTGCACATAGTTTGAGAGAGGGGGGCACTGACCCAGTTCCCAGCATGAGGTCATCTGTGGTCTTACAGGGGCACGTTACCTTTTTCAGAGCGCACCCTTTGTGGCCTGTTTACCTGTCCCTCTTTTGAGAAAACCAGCCCCTTCGTGGGACAGGGAGGGTGCGGCGGTCGCTCCAGTCCAGCTTCCAGCGCTTGGGGAAAATGAAACTTCACAGTGTTCAGGCTGGTGGAGGTTTGACGTTTCACAGATCCCAGGCTTTAGGAGTGAACAGGGTGGGGAGCTGGGCCTGAGCTGTGAGAAATGGCTGTGTCCACCGTGTCCGGCTGACCCGGCCACTCCTCCTCACACAGCAGCCGGCTTCGTGTGAGGAGCAGCGGCCGCGGGGCTTGGGCCGCGCCCCGAGCAGCGGGGCCCAGCTGCAGGGTGTGTGCTCGCGTTGGGTCGGCGTTCAGAATCCTGTGATTTTGTGCTGGCAAACACTGAATCTTGACCAGATGTTTAGGACAGTAAGTCCAAACCTGAAGTTTGATCATACGGTTTAATGTGCTGTACCAAAACCAGCTTCAGTTCTGTTTCGCAAAATGGGTTGGGATTTTTCGGTGTATTTATGTGCAATTTTTGTTGTATCCCGTGAAAAGAGTATTTTAAAGAAAACGTGTATAATTTTAGATTTTGTGTGTTAAAGCAAAGAGGCAACTGTCCTTCCTCTCCGGGGCATTTGTGTTGGAGGATGGTGGGGGGAATCCGTCCCAGCGTTCCGTGCTGGCCGGTGTTCGCACACCGACTCCGTGGTGTCACTGTCCCTCCTCAAGCCGTGTTGGGCTCAGCAAGGTTGCGCAGGCGAGATGGAGTGGCGGGGGCACTCGGGGGTCCCGGGCAGCGTTGCGGTGGTCGGGGTTTGGGTCTTCCCCGTTGTGCGCGGGGAGGCTTTCGTAAAGGCCCCGACCTCGGTGGCCTGCTTAAAATAAATCAGAGACAACTTTTTACAGTGCCGAGAACGCCTGTGTTGTTCTTGGTAGTGACACAGTGGCAAATGGTATTTTTACCCTTTGATGACTATAAATGGTTCTTTGAAAAAAATGTTTTAGAAACAGAGGACTTCTAAGGTGAATTTGGACATCTAAAAAATTCTTTTGTGTAGATATTTTGATGTTTTACAAAGCAATCTAATTTTGTTATTTCTGAAAACAGTGTAAACGTGTAATTAATACAGGATTTTAAAGCTTCATCCCGTGCTGTAGGTCTGTAAATACATTCCATAACTTCTAAGTCTGTTACATATAAATGTGTCTGAATGTTGTATACTTTATTTTAAATTGCCTGTATTCTGCCAGTAGCGTGAACTTGGAGCACATTGCTAATATAAAAGGAAACCATGGGTAATTTGAAATAAAGTTTTAAAACTTACATGAATTCCAGTATTCTTCCTGCTGTTTTGCTGTTGCATCGATGAATGTCGCACCCCCTGCGCTGGGTGTCGATTCCCCTCCCCATCCCCGCAGGTGGCAGTCAGTGGACCCGGTTTGTTTCTCTAATTTGCATAGTTAATCAGCACAGAAAAACTGCAGCATTTTCACACGCATTCTGCAGCCACATCAGAAACGTTTTCTTTGGGATATTTTTAACCTTCCCCAGACACTGAGAAGCAGCGGTTTTGTACAGAATCCTTTGCTCCTCCCTCCCTAACCCCTCCCCCCCCTCCTTTTTTCTCCCCTTCTCAAAGTAAAACACGAGTTCCAGGCTGGGGCAGTTTGCTGCTGCTGGTCCAGGCGCTCATTGCCAGTCCCTGCTGGGTTTTATCCTGTCCTGGGTTTGATCTGTAGCGCTGGCACCCCTGCTGCCCGCCCCCGCAGCGTGAGAGGCTTCTGCTGATCAGCCAAAGCGTTTACGCCTCTCTCCTTCCCTCCTCAGAGATAGTTTTTTTTATTTTCTTAAAAAAAAAAGCAAACCCTAGGAATTGCCAGAGATCCCCAAATGCTCTGTGATATCACGGATGCGCACTGTGATCCCATCTCTCCACAGCTGGAAAAAACGAGCGGTGCCGACCCTGGCAAAGTTCCTCCGGACGGCTGGCTGCTGGGCCACGGCTCTACTCCCGTCCCTGGATGCGCTCAGCCTCTGCTTGGCAGCTGCAGAGCCGAGGAGCAGAAGTCGGCTGTGGTGTCCGACCCGGGGCCGGGTGGGGCTTCTGCTCTGCCCGGGGGGCGTCGGCTGCGGGGCTCTGCAGTGTTAGAAGCCTTCAGTGTAGCATAAAGACAGGGGGTGTTATGCTGGCATCAGGAACTGGGGCTTGGGGGGGAGCCCCGCCTTGGCAGAGTCCCTGGATGCGCAGGATTTTTCAGAATTATGTTGTATTTTGTTTTCTGGTGAAAAGCAAGCAAAGCCCAGCTGATGCCGTGCTGCAGATTTCAGTTGCTTGCAGGACTAACGTGTGCCTGGGGTTTGATACAAACGGTGGAGATCTGCCCCTCCGTTCTATCCTGCTTTTCCTTTAGCTCAAAACTTCTGAAGAGTTTGTGATCAAACTTGGTTCCTTCCGCCCAAACAGGTCGCCTGCTAACACCCACTGCTCACAGAAAACACGAGTCCTACGTGAAACGCACCGAACCAGCGGCGCGTGCAAAAGGAATTAATCTCAGGAGCGTAACTCCACTCCGAGGGGCCTCCTGCAGCAAGGGGCCGCGGTGCAGGCGTGGGGGTAAGCACAGCCCTGGCTCGGCTCCCACCGGTGTCGCACCAGGGTGATCCCTGTCCTTCCCACCCTGCGGGACCGTGGAAAGCAGGCGGATGTGTTCATGGCTTTGAGCGCTGCTGGAAGGGGAACGCGTCCCGGTTTCAAGCAGGTGGCTGTGCTCCAGCGGTAAGAGCAGCACCGCTTACACAAGTTTGTCGAGCGCGTCTGGAGTTTCAGTGCTCCCCTGATAGTCGGCTCTGCCCGATGGTCGGGCACTGGCCCCTCTCCTCCCCTTCAGAGAGAGTTCTGAGCCAAAAGCTCTCTGCTTGTGATTTCGGTCGTCTCACTTGAACTTCAGAGCTTTTGGCACCATTCAGCTGGGACACGAGGATGTTCGGATGGGGCCAGCACGGGCTGCTGGTGGAGAGCGCAGCAGACTTGGTCTGGTTTGAGCTCGCTCTCCGGCGTGAGAGTGTCAGAAACCAGCCCGGCCCGTCGCAGGGCCGAGTTTGCTTTGTGCCACGTGCCATCAGCAGTCGTGTCGGGAGACAGGGCCCCTCTCTTGGTTAAAAAAGCTCCCCAGCAGCTCTGTTCCCTGCCTGCTGCCTCACCCCGCTGCCCAGGGACGGCGGCCGGGGCGGTGGGTACAACTGTGACCAACCAGCTCCCGCAGGCAGTGCAGCCGGCTGGCTTTTTCTGCTGGTGGTTGCTGCGTGCTGACACTTCACAGGGTGGTGGGAATGGAAACCTGCGGGCTTCGGCTGCTCTTGTGCTCACACTGCGAGCTCTCGGCAGTTTCCCCCCTGCCCACCCAATGCTGGCGCTGACAGCGAGGAGCCCCAGTGTGGGTGACGTGGCCGACGCAGCCGGAGCTTTGGGGTCTGCAGAGGTGCATCCCATGCAGGTGGGTCACTGGGCTGTTAGCAGGGTCACCTCCTGCTAGCTCTCATGTTTCCATAAAGCACTTTGGGGGGGTTTCTCACTGCTCTGGTGCCGTTGCCCTTTCTACTGGAGAAGCAGAGTCTCTGCACAAGGGCACCTTCAAGATCTTACAAGTTACTGCAGCGTCACCTTAACTGTGTCTGTCGTGAACAGTGTTCTCCAGAATAACCCGAGCTCTGTTATGTGGTTTATTTTGTCCTGCCAGACAGACAGACCGCAGTGCCCTGCCCAGCAGCAGCCCTGGAGCACGTCTGTGGCCAGGTTTCTTTCCTTAGCGTGTCTTTTTCTTTGCTCCAGATTTGTCCTTCTTCCCCTTCTGCTTTGATAGCTGTTTCGCCTGAATCTTCCTGAGGGCCTGGTAGGGGCCAAGGTTTCTGCGGACCATTGTACCTCTCCACCAGGCCTGCAGCTGGAAGTGAGAGAGAGAGGTCTTAGGGGAAGTCACTTGCTGGGGTACTTGGTACAGCTCGATGGCCAGAGCATCTCTCCTGCGCGCCCTGGCTCCAGAAGGGAACCCCCGGCCCACGCAGCAGCAGCTGGGCCTGCGCTGGTTACACTGAAGCTGTCCACGTCAAGGGGACGAGCAGGGGCACTGCCCTGTGACCCTCGCTGTGTCGCCCATGGAGTGGGGCTGGTGTGAGGAGCACGGCCCCAGATCATTCCAGCAGCCCGGCTTCTCCCCTTTCACTCCCTTCTCAAGCCCGTCTGTCCCAGTAGAAGGGACGGGCGTTGTCCTGTGCTCGTGGCACCCCACACCAGCCATCTCTCTCAGGCCGTTTTCTGCCTGCACAAAGCAAATGATGAACTCCCAGCTGCTGATGGCGGAGCACTGCCTCAGCTTTGCCCCTCTTTACCTTCAGGATGCTCTTCAGTTCCAGGGCATCGTGCTCTCGTTGCCTTCTTTGAGCCTCCTTTTCTGCCCGGTCACTGATGATGGTTTCCTCCAAGGTCTGGCACTGCAAGACAGCACAGGGGTGGTGGCAACCAAGTGAAAAAGACATCCCCTGAGCTGCAGGGCCAGCCCTCGAGGACCCCGCTGCCCAGCAGCTTGCTGAGGCGGGGCTGGGCTCACCCGGACCCTGGCATGAGGAGTCTTCTCCTCCGGTTGTTTACTGGTCTCGTCCCCGCTGCCTGCCCTGCTCAGCCCAGCCGGGGCTGCTCCGGCCCGTGGGGCACTGTGCAGGTCCCCACACCATGCACCAGGCAGCTCCATGGCAGCCCCAGGGTGATGCGTGAGCATGGACCTTCCTCCCCCACTTCCTTTAGTGGATCTTTCCTGAATCCAGATGGCAAATGTTGCTCATTACCACTGTCAGTCCGAAGGCACCCAGAGCTGCTGCCAAAGTGAAGCCCCTCACGGCCTGGGTGCCGTTAACCCTCTGATCCTGTGCTGTAACGTGGCTGCCTGATGGCGTCTCGGGCAACAGATGGTGATGGGGAGGACTCGTGCCCCCTGCGGCAGCAGGTGCTGCACAAACACACTTGGGACGCTGAGATGACAGCAAACAGAGCGAACAGTGAGCCCGCAAGCAGGGAAACACCACCTCAGACCCAGCGGCGGTAAGGAATGATTAGAAGTTAACTCCTCCTGGCTTTGAAGCAGCCCTGTTTCTAGACGCTTCTTTCTGCCCTGTGTTGCCTGCTCCACTGTGCCTGAGCAGCTGTGATCAGCACCCAGCAAAGCCAGTGAGGAGCAGGAATGTTTTTAACTGGTATCTGTTCCCTTATACCAGCACTGGGCAGCTGTGAATGTGCTTCTGCAGGAGAGGATGGAGCTGCCTTTTCCAGCCTCAGCCTGGCACACCCAGGTGTTGCTGGAAGGAGCAGATTTGTTCAGACTACGGCAACAAACTAAGGTGAGGCGCAGTGATGGGATGGAACAGCATCTTTGCCCTGCACAAAGGCTGTCGGTAGCTCTCTGATTACCTGCTGGTGTTTGAAAATAGCTGTGGGGGAAACATCATCATCCCTGCTTGATGTCACAGGTGGCAAACAGAAGATGACTGCTCGGTCCCTGCCTTCCCCAGACCAGAGCTTATAATCGCACCCTACAGCTCACAATTACTGATTTTTTTTCCCATGGTCCTGGTTCCTTCTCTTAATGAGAGTAGGAAAAAGCCAGGGTGCAGCTTTGCATGGACGCTGCTGATGTCTTACCTCGTTGGCAAGACTCTGCAGCATGTCCCAGTTGTTTGCCTTTGATGCTTTTAGGGCATCCAGTTCTTTGTCTTTAGCATCTGTGTCGTTTTTGTGCTTGTCCACCCAGTATTCCAGCTTCTCTTCCAACACCTGCATGGGGACAGAGCGGTGCTTGGCATAGTACAAAGAGTGTACAAGGGAAGGGTTTGCTGCTGTTACCTGGCCAGTTTTCAGCATGGTGGCATGGGTCCCGTGCATTTTGCACAGGCAGTGTTTCCATCTCGTCTAAGCCTTGGAAGGCTCAAACACCGAGGACTAGCGATAAATAACTGGTGGCCTGCAGGGCCCTCGCTGGGGGTTCCCCATGGAAGCTGCAGCGTTGGACTGGGGATGAAGAGAAGCTGCGTTGCGCTTTCAGAGGTGCATGAAGAATGGAGAAGCGCTGGGGGTTTGTTTTGTGTTAGTTTTGTCAATCCTGGTGAAGTAAACGACAACTGGAAGCCGTTCTCTGGGTGTATACGGGGTGGGAGGTTAAGAAACAGAATTTGAGAGTGAGAAAGCTTTTATCCTCTGCCTGACCCCCTGCCCGCTTTCTGGATTAAACTCTGCGCACCAGGAGCGCGGTCCCAGGGGACAGCACTTCACGCCGTTTCAGGTTGTGAGCTCGGCTTTGTCTCACGCGTGAATAGCAGGGCAGGTGTTGCTGACCAGCCACCCAGATGACTTCCCCCCATTCACCAGCAACTTCTCCATAGCAACAGCCGTGACTGCTCGCATGGAAAAATAATCGGAGGGAAAGCATCGATCTCATTACGGTGGCACAGCTGGACACACAAGGGGGATGGAAGGCATGGTCATCCTCTTCTCTGTGGGCCCCTGCAAAGCCACCAGCTGCTGTCTGAGTGCGGAGAGGCTTGTGCCTTGCCTTCTGCGAGAGGTCAGACAGGCTGCAGCTTGTACGTGGAAAATCTCCTCACTACGAAGTGGTGATCAGACGAAGGTTCTGGGGTATGGAGGACACTATTTAATTGGTCTCAAGATACAGCACCCTTTTGCACTCAAATTACATTTTTTGAAATTTATTCAATTTTCTACTGGCGGTTCTGTTAGGTACCCTGCAGTAGTACTGGTTTTCTTCCAGTCATATGGTTTATGAGATGCTTTCCAGTGTTATTCACTGTAATGGGCACTGCTGTTGATGATAGGAAAGCTCTGAACCTCTGGATCAACAGCAGAAGGACATTCATGTTTTTTTTCTGCTGAAAATGAGTACAATAACTGTGAGTTACAATTATCCGACCCTGATACTTCCTCAGATTAAGGCAAGGCAAAACTGGGCTGGCAGTTTGTGCCATTTTCTTCTTAGGGCCCCCTCTGTGCAACACTTGGGTCTGCGAAACCGTTGCCCCCGCTTTGTGCAGTAGCACTCTTCACGGGGTCGCTGGCAGCCCCAGCTGATGCCAAGGGAGGTCTAAATAAAATTCCAATCAGCTGAATATGGCCGTCCGAGGGAGGAGAAATCCGTAACACCTGCATAAACAATGCCAATCATTACACGAACTCAAATTTTAAGGAAATGTATCCAAATGTAGCAAATCCCAAGCCTGGGAGAGCTGGGTTAATGAAGACTTGAGGATAAGCAGTCATTCAAACAGCAGCAATCATGAACCTGGTAAATTTGATGGAGCAATAACTGGTTTTCTTTAGGTGCTAATGGATGATACAGTGTTTCTCAATTGCAACTTCAAGCATTAGCAGAAAGTCACACATACCTTATGGTGTTGCCTGAGGAAATTTTCAGTCTCCATGTGGACTCGAATCTCCTCGTTAATTTTGCTCCTCAACTTCTGTGATCAGCGCAGACAGAAAACATGGGAGACAACGTCAGTGCATACGTGTGCACACACGTGCTGCTGAAAGCCAAGCTGGGGGGCTGGCCTGCAGGAGCTCTCTGTGCAGGCCACACACATTTTTCCCAGTGACAAAATTAACTGAGGCAGTCCTTGCCCCTGGGCCATCCATGAGGAAGGGACAGCTAGATCAGACCTTGATCAGTCAAAATTAAAAAAAATGCTTGCAGAACCAGAAGAGTTTTCTACGCCAGCTCACCTGATGGCCCCACGAACAGCTCAATCAGCATAGTGTGCTGTAGGCAGTGCTGGGAGCTCGGGCTGCTTATGTAGCTGAACAGTTGCAACTACACCCTTTGGACATAGTTACGGGCATGTTTCTCTGACGACGGTATCAGTTTCCGCAGGCCCTGCCTCCAGCCATTCTCTCCTGCAGCTGTGCCATTCACAGAATCATAGGAATACAGCATGGGTTGGGTTGGAAGGGACCTTGCAGATCATCTCGTTCCAGCCCCCTGCCATGGGCAGGGACACCTTCCACCAGACCAGGGTGCTCAAAGCCCCATCCCATTTGTGCTGTTGCTGTTTGTGGGACCATACAGAGAAGCAATGGAAGAGATAAAGATTTCTAACCTGGATGAGTTTCCTGATCCAGTTCACACAGCTGTGTTGGTGACTGGGATGGAGAACAGAAGGGGCATCTAGGAAGCAAGGGAGGACTATTTCCTTACTAGCTGGAGATGCCTTCCAGTAAGGGCCGTGGGGAAGGGCTTACCTGAATTTCCTTGTCCAGGACGTTCTCTGCATTGCTGCACTGCTTCTGGGTTTGGTGGACCTGGAGGTCTGTGCTTTTCTTCACGTAGCACCTCTCCATGTCTGTTTTGGCCTTCATCTCTTTGAGTTCATCTTTGAGGTAAACAATCATACTATCTCGGTCCTAGTGGAGGAGACAGAAGCAGCACAAAAGCGAGCCTGGAGGCTGAGGTCAGCTCTCTGTTTCTTAATCTCTGCAGTCCCTGATAGAAGAGATAAGGCTATAGGCTTCACACTTTCCCTGAATGTTGCTCCATCTCAACCTCTACTTCAAAGGGAAGTTTTATTTGTAACCCATACAGAAGGCAACAAACCCATCAGCGAGGAGCGATTACCTCTGGAGAGGGTGGAGTGATGAACAGAGTGCGACAAGAAGCCAGGCCTTCTGGTCTCTGGTCCAGGAGTGGATTCAGTCATGCTTATGATAAGCATGAAAGAATGATTTCAACTGCTTAAAGTCAGGCTTTACTAACCTCTTGGATTAGGCCGTCTCAGGGAGTGAGCATCTCTAAGCATGTCTATAATGCCTCAGCCCCATGTAAGCCAAAGTTTGATTTCCTAAAGTATACTCTGTTCCTTGGATTAATTTTATTTCTAGTTATGCAGCAACTGTATGAACACAACTTTAGGAGCAAGTGAAAATCTAATCTGGCCTCACTCATATGTTTGAACAGCTCTTTCGTGAAATCTTACCAGGTAGGTGATGCCCACTTTGTTATAAAAGCACAAACCCTGGGCAAGGAAGAAGTGCCAAGGAACTCCCAGGCTCTCCCCATGCCTTGTTTCACAACAGAGCAGAGCTTTCCTGGGGGAATTCTGCCCCCAGGAGCTCCCCCATAGGCAAGAGGCCTGAGCCAGCATGCCCTGTTAGTCCGGCTTTTGGAGCGTGCTCAGGAAGCAAAGTGCATTGGCTTCATTTGGGATTGTTGTTTTGTTTACTCTTTTTTAATTAATTTCTTTGAGTTATAGATAAAAGTTCATTAATCTGGGGTTGGAACTTGGAAGATCTGCCTGTAAAATGAAGAACTCTAGACTTTTGTATTAAGTGTTAAAAAGGTCGTCAAAGTCTCCTCTGCAGTTATGCAGGCCCAGTCTTAATGCTGCTGGTCGGGCACCCAGTTGCTCCATTACAGCCTTTCTCTTTGCTTTCCTGCCGTGCTGTGATGGGTCTGACATTCATCAGCCAGACCTTGCAGCTGAAGATGAAATACCAAAGCACTGGCATTTAAATGTTTTGAAGCCCACTTATCTTGTCCCTGAAGCGCTCCCTTAGCTGTGTAAACATGGAAAAATGCCACAGGAGGAAGCCAGCTCAACAGCGCTGTGTTTAAAAGCCTCTGCAGCATGACTCATTTGGAAAACGTTTCCTTATAAGAAGAGTTTGGAACAGTTAAAAGGAAAATCCTTCCCTCTGCTCCCCTTGTCGGACATAGTTAGGAAGAGTAAAGTATATTTATAAGGCTCAGGACAATTTGGGGCCTTGGAGATGCTGTGTTCTGGGTTTAAAAGTCATGCATTCATGTTTTTTTGAAGGTTTCCAACATCAGATACTGTTCTATGGCCGTATCATCATATGACTGCAGACAGCTACAGATGTGAGCTATTTGTGCTCTATTAAGGTTTCTGGTAACAGCCTTTGTTTTCCCCAGTGTGAAATTTTAGTGGGCACTGGGAGGGGTTGTGTTTCTGGTCAGTAGGTGAAACCTCATGGGAGGTGACTGTACCGCTTTATTTTGAGATTGTCTTCCTGTGCCATGGCAGAATCATGTCTAAACTGAGGGGAGGGCAGAGGGACTGGGGAAAACACCGATCTTTTAATGGCACTGCGGCTCCGCAAAGCCACGCACCGCTGATGTCCATGTGTTACTGCTAACTACTAAGGAGCTGCAAACAGGTCAGAAAAGAAAGGTTCAGCCTAGGTTACAAAGTACTCAGATACTAGCGAGGTGGGGCAGAGCATGAACGCTTCACCAGGTTATTTTCTTTTTCATGTCATATTTTAGTAAAGCAGAGCAAAAAGTGCTTTTGGTTCCAGCGCCCCAGGCCTCAGCCGGGATCGGGGCCCATCTGCCCTGTTGGTTTCCTTTGTTGTATGGCATGTTTGTGGTTTGGATTTGGTCTGTGGTGTTGTAAAACATCTTCGTTAGAGGTGGGGAGTCTGGAGGCTTGGTTACACAATCCAAAGCAGAGGGGAAGTGAAATGCAGAACCCCCTGGGGTGGTTTACAGCAACGCATTGGCTTGGAGAGGGAAAGTCGGCTGCGGGCATGTGGGCAGCTGCTGCAGCCTGGCTGATGGACCCGGCGCTGCAGAACTGGGGCACGTTCGGAATTAGGCTGCAGGTGGTAAATGCCCACAAGCTGTGGGCACCATCTGCACAGCATGCTGTAACCTGGACTTCAAGGAAAGGCACTGGGAAAATGAGCTAATGTTTATTCATTCTAGTTTATCATAGCGAAGGTCTTAGCCAGGAGACGGTGCACTTTCATAGTACAGTAAACTGGGCTGCTTATTTGGGATTACTTCAGCGTTGAATCTGCCAAACCAAAGATGCAACATCATACCTCGTGTGTCCAAAGCTATCACAAAACTGGCAGAGACCAAGATCAAAACCCAGGAAACAGTTGTAAAGAGCCAGTCTGCTTCGCAAGCAGGTAAACAAGCTGGTTTTCTCTGATCTCTCGGCTCGCAGACAGCAGCTCAGAGGCCTGGCTGCTGCGATCCGGCGCCACAGGAGTCTGCACCACAGATGCTGTTTGGCTGCAAAAGCAACTGCGCTTAGCTGGAGAGGGTATGCACACTCCTGTGTTTCATTTACTTTGATTTATCTCTCTTGCAAGTGCAATCTAGACCTCTCAGCTTTTCCACAGCAATTAGTATTTACAGTCACTTAAAATACAGCTGGTTACAAAAATAGCAAACAGGAGTAAACAGTCTGAGGAACTCCTCCAGCAGTTGGATAGGCCCAGCCATTTGGCAGGCGCTTGGAGGAGGCAGGGGAACGGGTGCCGTGCTACGTGCAGGCAGCGAGCAGAGAGCCCTGCCGCCTGCCTCCCGGCTTCCACAACGAGTGCCTGTGAGCTCAGGTCTGGCCACTGGCAGCTGCGCTCTATCAGCTTGCAAGGCCTGAAGGTCCGCTTAGATCTACACACCTGCTGCAGCCTGGACTTGCTTCCCCTGAGACCACAACGTGCAGCCCTACAGACACTTCAGCAAAGCCATAGCCCACAGCTCCGTCCTGGCTGACAGGTCATCTGTGTGCCGCACACCCCCGAGAAATGCCTCAGCTGAAAGGACAGCAGGCCTTGGAAGGTCACCAGGGCTTGATACAAGTGCTTCTGCAGCCCTCCGCTAGCTCCCCTCCGATGCCAGCAGCTGAGGAAGCGGGCTGCCAGAGGGGCAGTTTGCTGGCAGAGCGAGCAGGACTGTTGGCAGCAGCACTCTTGTCAAAGTTCCTGTCCCTCTGGAACCAGGTCTGGATCCCGTGCACCAGCCCCGGGTCCTGCTGAGCTGCCCTGGGGCTCTGCCAGCAGCAGAATGAAGTCGCCCAGGAGCTCAGGACGGACCATCACAAACCTCGTGCCTCCTTCTGTAACCACCTGGTGCGTTTCTCCAGTAGAAGCATGCACCAGTGGGTGAGTATCTATGTTTAAAACATCCTCCAGAACACTTCAGTGATGCATTTGTCCTCCTGGGAGAGGACAAGGGAAGAAACATGATGGATTTGAGTCACACTGCTGAAAGCACTACCCAGTGGCGCACTGATGCAGTGGAGCTGGGTACGTTACAAGAGCCCACACAGAATTAAAGTTATGGACCTGTTTTCACTGGTACTGGGGTGCAACATCTTGGGTTTCTGTCTGGTAGGTAGCCTGCAATATTACCACTCGTTATAAAAATACACAATAACTTGCACACATGTATGGCATGAGTATACCACAAAACCTACAGAGCATGAAAGGTCTCTGGATGAACAGCAATGCTGGAATTCTGAAGTTCACATTTCCTAAATTTTTATGTTAAACTCTATAATCCTACACAATATTAACTTGCTTCAAAATCTGTGCAGGCTGCCATCACTTGTCCTGGAATGCAACTATTTTCACACAAGCTAGAAAATGAACACTGCAGCAGCAAACAGAACTCCTGCAGCCAAACTAGAGCTATCGCTGATGCTCCTGCACGGAGGGGAAAGAGCAAAGCCAGACTGTTCATTTCAGCTCCTTTAGAGACATCAGTGCTTTATAAGAGGAAAGAAAACAAAATAAATAAGAACATTTAGCATTTGATTTGTGTGCCATTATAAAGAAAATGACCTGAGCAGGCTAATACAGCATTAATTAGCATCTCATTGAGAGCTAGCAAGGCTGAAAATACAAGCATAGAGGCAACAGGCGCAAAGCAAACACCGTGTTTTTCTGGTTTCGTGATTAGATTTGCTCACTTTTGTTTTCTCGTCCACTAAACTGGAGACAACCATGTAGGCTTTTGTCTACAGGTCTGTGCATTATTATTGTTCAAAGTGCTCCAAAATCAGCAAGCTGTACTTTTGTTTTTAATTAGTTGGCAAGGTGACAAATCATGCAAGTGTCTGTAAAACTGCCTACGGGAAAATCCCATGCGAAGCAAGTACAAATTATTCTCCCTTGGGAGACACAGTGAGGCACCATAATTTTTGGCACAGGAGGAAAGCAGTACTTGAAAGTAGTCTTGTCTTTGATTTGTTATCAAAGCTGAAGCTATAAGGAAGCCCAGAAAAGGATTTTTAAGCTGAAAATACAAAAATGAAATCCCAGATGAGTGCAGATCCTGCTTGATGAGGCAAAAAAAGCAAGAAGCAAATTAGCAGAAGGTACCGAGAGAACATGGAGACGAGCACCCTCTCAGTACTGGCGCTGTGCACCTTCCTGTGACTGCAAGAGGTAGGTGAGGTGCGGGGCAGGACACAGAGAAGAGCCCAGCCTGACTGCACAGCACCAGAACACTGCTGCTGATGGCAGACGGGGCGCTTACAGCCGCCTGTACACCAGACCCTGGGAAGGCATTAAACCAGAGCCAGGTATGTGTGTTGTGTGCATGGACACTGTGAGGTTTGAGGAGCACAGCACAGAAGGAGAACTACCTCATCATATTCACTAGCTTGCGGAGTGGGAGAACCAGAGCTTCCCAGGAGCTTCCCAGGAGCCATGAGAATCTGACTGAGAAAGGACAATGTGCCGCAGTAAATGGACAACATACAGTCTTCAAGCCTGACAAACTACCCAGCTTATTTCATTTAACTGCCACGCAGATGCAAGGGACTTTTGAGTTGTCCCACAGGGTCTGGAAATAGGCTCCCATACCAATTCCAGTGGCAGTAAGTAAGTATATATTGAGGTATACAGCTCCCCCTTTCAGTCCTGGCTCTGACCTTCATGTCCTTCAGATGTGTTCAAATCTGTAGGGGAAAAAAGTTCATCCTGCATTTCCCTTTTACTTCCTACAACTGTTCTTTCTTGGTTTGTCTCCTAACTTGCTAACTTTCCATTTCCTGCAGTGACTCCTCTTCTTTCTCCTCTGTTATGTCCAAAGGTTTTTCCCAGAGGTTTTTTCATCTTGCTATACTTGCCAGTGCATGTTACACGTTTCCAGGATGGTAAGGGTTGGAAGGGACCTTAAAGATCATCTGGTTATCTCCACTAGTAGGGGAGTACTGACCTAAATGAATTTTCCCATCTTGTACGTTCCTGCTTTCCCATCTTGTACGTTCCTGCTTTCTTCTCTGCTGTTCTAATATCTCCCCTGGGCTTCTGGTGTTTCATCAGTTATAGACACCTGCATACACTACCAGTGCCAAGAGATCCTTTGTGTTCTTACAATTGTCTTGTATTTATAATTAAACTTTCCACTGCACGTGCATCCAGGCTGCCAACACAAAACCTTCATGTTCTATAACTGTACTTCACCAGCACGTCAGTGGCTTAAAATTCCTCTCTGTAGCCAACTATATCCTGGCTCGATTACTGGCCACACTTCTGTCCAAAGACAAAATCCAGTGATACCGACTCTTTCCTCAGCTGCATTTGCTGTCTTCTTGCTCAGTACTGAACCAAGCATCAGATTCTTGTTCCTTCTTCCAGTCCATGTATAGCTCTGAAGCTGCCTGCCTTTCGCTTGTTTCTGTCACACACTCTTCCTGCCTCAGCAGGGCTATGCTACATCCATGTTTCTGCAGAGAACTGTGTGTGCTTTTTGCTCAAGTCTGAGCTGTCTGGTGAGCATCAGAGTGACCATGGATATGCCATTCAACTGACCTGCACTTTTGTAGTAACTGTGACACGTCCAGAATGCCTCAGATTTACTGTGCCTGCACACACTATTTGCATGCTGCAGACAGAAGGGCCAAAGCTTTCCAGAAAGATCAAGTTGACAACGTATCTGCAATAACATTGATCTGCCCTTGCGTAGAACTCCCATGTCTGGGATTTTTCTAATATCTGGAAGCCTAGAAAAATAGATTAAAATAATGGCATTTTCCCCAGACAAAACTGTAGGTAGAAAAATGACATGCCCCTATGCCAGGTGTCTGTCTTTCTCACTCCCTCATCCTCACACTTTCTTCTGTGCCAGGTATCACATCTGCATGACTAAGTAAGACACAACCTTAGATTCTGCTGTCTGCAGCTAACCTCTTTCTTACAGATTGCAGATGTCCATGATTTGCCACTCTAGGCGGTGGTTTTGGGGTATTCTAATTTGATCATGGTCTCTCATGATTATGAGCATTTTGAACTCCCATTTGAAAATCATTGGACACTGCTCTTAAAATTATTAGCAGGCATATTCAGAATACAATTTTTTATTGCAATTATTCTCCTTCTGTATTTCTAAATGATGAATCACTATATATGCCACACATCCTCTCATCTGAGTGCTAGTTCCTGTGCAGCTGAGGTGAGCTTGCTAACAGGCCACCCCACCTGAAGTTCTGTTTCAGTTTCCTTCTTGACATCTTGCAGCTGTTTCTCAAGTGACTTTATCTCCTTCTTTCCTTCCTCCTCCCTGAAGAAAAACGAGAAAACACAATCACTTGAATATATCAAACACGAGCTGTTTACCTGGAAGGAGACCTTCCTGTCTCCTGGTACGCTGAGGCACCTAGCTGACTGCTGCCCCACTTACTCTGCTCACTCAACAAGTTTCGAACAGCTAAACTAAAATAAGTGCACACAAAAGCTTGGCCTGCTTCTTCAGAACAGCAGAAACAGGCCCCTTCCTGCGGCTGAGTAGCAAAAATGGCATTCATCTCTTTACTCTGAGCCTCGGGGAGGCAGCAGATCTGCAAGTCAGGAACAGAGACTCCTCGCGAAAGCTGATGACTTGGTAAATTAATCCCAAAAGAAGAGGTGCACAGACTGAACAAAGAGGATGGGAATGAAAGGGAGAACGAACCAACAACCAGGGGACACTCTTGCTGAAAGCCTGGAGTGGCCTTGAGGATGATGTGATTCCTATAGCAGAGAGCGAAGAAGCCTATCAGTGAGTGACAGTTTTTGTACTTTAGGCAAAAATCTCCTTATTTCTGTGCAGAAGCATCCCTAATCAGCAGACAATGCCAAATTGTGTAAGTTTCATTATGTGTATGTTTTTTTCATATCAGACTTAAAATCTTTCAAAACACACTGCCTCAGATTCCGAGATCCATGAAGGGATACGAGTGAAGGCCAAAAGCTACAGAGCTGTTTATTGCATCTGGTTTGTTTTACACAGGTAATGTTCTAGGTCTTATTATTATCTTATTTCACTCTGAGTGCTTTTCCAAGCTTTTATGCTTATGGTTTGATTTAAAGCCAGTAAATACTACATAAATACGTACCTGAGATGTCGTACCCTACCCAACCTTACAATCACACATGCATTTCATTTTCAGAGTCCTTAGCCAGGTGACTGTGATAAACAACAGCTCCTGATAGGGGGTTCCAGTCTTACTGCAGACTGCTTTCAGACTAGTGTATTGACACAAAACCAGACAAGTATATATTATATTTAAAGACAGATCAAGTTCATTCCATGAAAAGAATGTATAGTAGAACAGAAAACATAGTGGCTAGATATGATTGATAGAATGGAATAAAAATGATTATGTCCTTTCTGATGATAATTTGTCTGCTCCTTTCCACCTTCCAGTATTGAATAGTTACTCCACAATCAACTGCTGCTTTCATTTTTACTTTCTGTCCCTTCCAAGGATAAACAATAAATCCCTTGGTTTTAGACAGTGGAGGAGTTGGGTTTCACGCTGGATATCTCACATCTCACTGGACGCTGGGGACCTGCACTGGAGGCAGACCACTAAGACGCCACTGGGGCTGTTCCAGTAGGTTGGACTGATGACAAATTATGACTTACAGCAGCTTTGCTGTCTACCCTAAATGATGGGCCTGAGCTGCTACACAGAACAAAGTAGCTTTAAAACGGTCAAATACTTTTCTGATGACTGCTGTTCTCTCTGACAGGCTGGGGACTGAACCAGAGCTTCCGGTGCTAAAAAAACTCCAAACCTCTAGTGCACAGAAGTTTGAGCTAAGGAATCACCAGTCTGAGTTGAGATTATAACAAATCCATAGCCTGTCAGATTTGGGACAGAAGAGGATCTGTAATGCAGTGGCTGGTGGATTAGCCTTAAGACAACGGCCTCTGGCACCATCTGTGCTAGCCCCTCGCTGCTACTGGGAAAAGGGAGCTCATTAGCGTGAGAGCAGATCCTCCTGGGCATCAGATAACCTAAAGACCATATGTTGCTAGCCCTGGTTTGAACAGATTCTTTGCTGCTCTGGCTTTCACTGGGGACGAGGAATTAAAGATCAGGGAGCTCCGACATCACATTATGTTTTAATTGATCTGGAGCAGCATTTGCATTAGTGCAGATGCTGGTGTCCACTGTGGTGAAAGCTCAGGCAATTCGTAGCTCAGATCAGTATCAGAACCATCAGTTACTTCTTTCTGAAAGGGAAAGAAGTGCAATTTGTAAAGCAGACAGAATAATTAAAGTTGAAAAAGCAGAATCCTTTCTGTATCTTGTTTTTTGGGGGTTTTTTGGGTGGTTTTTTTTTTTCTTTTTAGCATGTACTGAGGGGGAATGAACTTTGGCTTTGAGCAGTTAAGCAGGAAAGCACTGAACACAACACTGACCTGATGAGGAAGTCATGGAACTTGCTCCTTTTTGCCTTCTCTCTCTCGTTAGCTTCTGTTAGGCTATTAAATGTTCCTGATTCCTGTATCTCTTTCATAGTGACTGTAATTACATCACTTGCATACTGCCTGCCAGGAAGAAAAGGAATATAACAGTAATTTGTAGGTGCTGGTACTACAGTGTCTGGCACCTTTATCTGTTATTGTTTACAGCTAAAAAGGTAAGGAAATATAAGATTCCATTTCTGTTCTTATGTCTGTCAAACACAGGAGCACTTCTCCCATGGTACCTGCTTCCTGTACATCTGGAAAACTCCGTATTAGGAGTTGGTTGAAGTTTATAATTTAAAAATGCTGTCCTGAATGCTACTCTAGGAAATAACAAAGAGGCACAAACATATCCATGCTATACCAGACTGTGCTGCCATCAGGAGGGAGGCTGCTGGCCTCCAGTAGTGATGACAGCTAGCTCAGTCTTGGAAAATGAGACCTGGGGATGCAGACAAGTGTGTCTATGAAATGACATTTAGGTGCCAAAATATCCCAGTACAGCCCTAAGCCAATTTCAACAAATATGTGGGCCTGCCCTGTTGATTGAATTTCGTGGTGCGTATAGTATTTATATTTTAGCTGTATTTTCCTCATTTGTGTTACGATCTTCTTTAAGCCCTTTGTTGAAATAACATTAAAGGACAGGAGGCAGGATGCAGAAAAATGCATACTGAATGCTTAGTTCCCCAATCTGCCTTTTAAACCAAAGGCTGATGGTATTTCTGCAAATCAAGGCACTTGAATAGGTGCAGAAATAAAATTTATTTAAAGAAAAAGAAAGAAACTCTTTGGTCTTTATATACATTGTCTGTTCTGTAAAGAAGAATGGCTGTATCTGCCATAGAGGCTCTGTGTGCCCTGCAGAATAATTGAGTTCACAAGACAATGCTCAGATCCTGTTTTGCCTGTAAGTATCTGCTAGGGGAACCTGACTCCAGACACCAGAACATCAGCACTGCCTAGTTCCTGGCATGAATTCCACCCAAGCAACCATTATCAGCTGGGTAGTATTTTGCAACTCCATTCAAAATCAACTGATTGTCATTATTTGGCATCCAGGGGCAAGCAAAGGCCGGAACTAAATGACCTATGAAGTCAGACCCCACTGCTCTCTTTAGAGGTATTCCTTCCAGACCAAGACTAAGGTACACCAGCAGTGGGAGAGTGGGAAGCCTGTATTTTTGCTTTCAAGAGATAGACTGCGAACTTTACAGCTCTGAGCATCCCCCATAGGCATCGTATTTGTGTTTTACTCACCTGTCAGCCTGAATTTTTCTCAGATTCTCTACAGATACAGCGCTGTGTTTCATAGCTCTACTGGAAAGATCTTCAGTTTTCCTCAGCTGCTGTTTGTGTTCAATGCTTTTCAGAGACTTGGAGGTAACTGTTTCCCCACTCCCTTGTCTTGCTGACATAAGCTCTTGGTAGTTAATGTCCAGCTCCTCCTGGGTCTCTACGATTTCTTTCATTTCCTGGCTGCCAGTCTAAAGGAATAAGAAAGACCTGCTTGCACACTGGGCACTAGAAATAAACCCTCTGCAACATTATGTGAGAGGAAGAAAAATGAACAGTAAACAAGAATGAAGCTATACTAACAGCAGTTGATAGTGTATGTTACATTCAGCTAAGAGTAGAAGAGCAGAAACATTGATCTTGGTTACCTTTGAGCACACAATGTAGGCTTACTACAGTTTATGGGATCAAAAGTCCCAAAGTGACAGGACTAGAAAAGTCCTCAAAAGGTGAATTCATCTGCCCCGAGAGATGATGGTTCAGACTGTGTCATTCCTGACCTGTTCTTATGGGCAATGGAGACTATGCACCCTCCTGCCAGTGCCAGCATCTCACAACAAGCTTTACCATAAGAAAGTTTTTTCTCCTCAGCTGATGTTGAGCCCCTGGCTTCTTGTCACGGTCTTGGTAGGCACAGAGAGCAAATCACTCCACCCTTCTTTGCAGCAGCTTTTATGTGTTGGAAGACTGTCAGCCTGTTTCCCCTCCGCCTTCTCTCCATCTTAGCCATTTCCTACTGCCTGTCACCATGACCAGTCCCTACAATATTATCATTAAAACAAGACCTGAGATGTGTGGAAATAAAAGCGATAGACATCAGCTATCTGCTTAGCTGGTTTTTGTGAGAGAGTGACAGCAGAGGAAGTATAACATGGATTCGAAGAAGAAATTCAAAATATTGGCAGCTCTCTTCTATGTGGAAAGGTATCTTGTGGCAGTGTACAATTTTATTAAAAAATAAAAAGCCCCAGAGAGGCAAAAGCACAGTATGAAATCAGCTAATGCCGTGCTTCTAGGAATTTCTCTGCTTTATGTGCTATGGGTAAGAATACAGGCATTAAAAGAGAACATTTTCCTGCCCACCTACTGGCATCTCTGTGGCTGAACACTTAATAACTGAAGCCAGCTGACACAGTCACTGCTGGCCCTGTCCTAGTCCACAGCTGCCTATTCCCCACTGTGGCTGCCTGGGGAAATGGATTAGAGAACTCACTGAGCTGAAACATTTTCCAGCAAAAAGCAGAAAAAAAAGATAGTTTATTTTTAGCAGCAACATTTCTCAGTCCAGATCCTTCCACAACCACACACACATTTGTGCCAACACAGCACCGAGGTCAGCATAAAAACAAGAGGTCAGGGCAGCAGCTGTGTGTGTGCCAGTCGCACTTCCAAGGAGTTACTTGTCAAGCGAGGCTGTTAGTGGTCTGCGATGCTGCTGCGGTCCGTGAGGGCCCTGCAAGGGGCTGCTGCGTTCTGAGCATCTTGGACACCTCCAGGTGCGATGAATCAGCCTCTGGCAGTGCCTGACTCATCACTGACTACAGATGGAGTCTAGGTGACTACATGCTTAATTTTTGTACAGTTAAATTTACATTAAATGAATCGTATGCAGAGTATACACAGACCAATGAAAATTACATAGTCAATTAGAAAAAGAGGGTTTAAATAGTTCACTGGTGATGGCTGTACTTCAGAAAGGACTAATTTTGGCAGACAAACTGCTTTAATATCATGTAGATTTTATGAATGTTCTGATAGATGATTTTTAGTGTCTGGGAGAGTTCAAGTCAGGCTATAACTGGATTGTATGCAAACAGTAGGGACTCAAACGCTAATAATTACCAAATAACTATGTAAGAGCAAGGAATTTGTAAACTGCATGTGTTACCATCTGTGTAGTCTCCTAGCTGTTTATGATTTGCTAGTCTGTTACCCAAAATTCAGCAAGTAGAAAGGCTTCCTTCCTCTGCGGGATGCACTGTGTGAAGTAACGTACAAGAGTCCCCAGTGTGGAAAATCAATGAGGTGCTGGCCAACACTGTGATTATTCCTCTCAAAAACGTCATCAACTGAAATTTAGATGTCAGTCTTCAAAAATGTCGTTGATTTTTTTGACTGACAGAGCTCCAGGGTGCTTTGCAAATACAAAAATATAAATCTTCCACAAGTACAATGATAAAAGTCAAATGTAAACTGAGAAATGGGGAGGAGTAGCAAATTACAGAGCACCAAAGTTAGCAAGTAGCTTCCCTATGCCATTTTCTTCTTTCTAAATTGTTTCCTTCTCAATTTGTTTTGGCATCCTTAAGAACACAAGTAGGGTTTACAGTCTGTGAGAAAACTGTGTTTTAAGAAATGACTTGGTAAAAATGAGCATCTGTGATTGAAGAGAAAAGCTAAGGCGATTTCTCTGTAATTTGGATGTACCTTCAGTAGGTCTGTCAGCTTGAGTCTGTGTGTCTGAAGAACATCAGCTCGTATTGGCCTAGAGATCTGTTCTTTCTCTGTGTTTTTGCTGCTGGCACATAAGAGGCTTCCCACCCAGCTCTGTGAGGGAGAAGCATCCTCTGGAAGCAGGTGAGGCTGGCTCACAGGGCTCTGTCAAGGGCAGGAGTGCCCTCTGTTGCACACTCTAAGCAATTTACTGTAACACCAGCTGCTGCTGCTTTGCAATGGGTTTTTTGAAAATAAGGCAGTATGGAAAGGAAACACGTAGAAAACAACACATTGATCTACCTTCCTCTTGCATTCTTAAGTGGTAGCATTAGACAGAGTGAACAGTATTAGATCTGAAAACTCGGACCTCCGTTTTTATTTCCATCCTAGTCACACACTTCTTTCTGAGTTCCTCTTAAAAAAAGTTTCAAACCTGCTTAAACTGGAAACAGCCTGCTATGTCACTTAAAATATATGACAACAGAACTTAGAACCATTTACCCCTCAGGATGGTCCCATGCTGTTTCCTATGTCTGTCAGCTACCAGAAATATCACACCACCTTCCTCCACAGCAACAAACTCTGGCTCAACATTAGGGCAGCTTCTCTGTTCTTTATATCTCTACCCAAACCCTCTTAGTTACAATGCCTATTAGAAATCAACCAATTAATAATTGTCATTGAGAAATAGTGGTTACTAGTATATTTTGAAGCGGAACCTTTCTTAATTCATTGTCTGTGGGAACTAAAGGAACTTTAGCACGGACTTACAGAGGAACAGAATTACCCTGGTTTTGAGCACTTTCAAATATCCTATTTGTTTGTATTTTTAAAATAGCTGTATATCTAGATAAGAACCTAGATATGTTTTGCTTCCTTTTCCTTAATCCTTTGCTTGTCATCTAACCACCAAGATTTTAAAAGTATAAGCCCAGGAACCTCATCTTGGGTCAGCAGGGTCCTTTACACAAAGTCTTGACAAAGGCTTCTCAGTGATGCTGCAGTATAATATTAAAATTGGTCACCCATGCACTTTTATTGTATTTCTTCACCCAAGGGTCATGGAGCACTTAGCAGAAAAAAAATCTGAGGTGATGTTTAAAAAATTCTGGTAGAAGACATAAAACCAAGACAAGGAAAAAAGGGAGATAGGTTTTTTAAGCAGGGAGGATAGAGGCACACACGTGGCTGAGGTCTGTCTTGCCCTCGTATGAAACTGGCATGGTGCATCCAAGAATTGAGAGCTGATCGACACAATCCTCCAGCACAGCAGTAAACAGCAGAGCTTCCACATGAGTGAATTTTTCCATTTCTTTAGTCTCTGTGTTCTTGCTAAGGGGAACAAAGACAAAAGATACCAATGGGAAAGATGCTACAGTGTTAGCAACATTAGTAACAGTAGTTTAAACTAAAGGTAGACCTGAAATAGCCTTATTTGCAGCCTTTCATATACTTCCCTAGCTTTGTTTGTAGCCTTTCATACACTGTTTATAAGAGGAGCTATGCTCTGCTGACGGCTGCATTCAGCAACACTGGGAATGTTTAGCTTTCACAAAACAAAGTAGGTCCTGGTCCCTCCTACAGCAGATCTGGGTGGATAGGCTGAGAAGGGAATAGGTATGGAAGGCACAAACTGGGTGAGGTTCAAAGGGGAGCAGTGCTTCAAGAGGGACTTTGTTCTTTGAGAAACAATGGAATGAAGATGCCTTTTTAAAACGAAAAAAAATTGACATGTCTCATAAAATCTCAGATGGTGAACTTTTGTGCTCTAATCATTCCTCGATATTACTGTGTAGCCTTAACATTTTTATGATCCCAATCCCCTCAGCAGGAACTGTTACCACCTTAAGATGTTGAAAGTCAAACAACAACCAATATCTGGACTCAGCAAACTAACATTCTGTGTTGTTTAAATTGCATTTCAAACGTGAAACTGCTCTGGTGTACACTGAAGCATCCCTTTGCCTTGCTTACAGATGGAATATTGTGGAAGTGCACCTAGGGAATGGTGGAAATTCGCTACTAATCCAAGTCAAATTGGTCCATTTAGAAAACTGCATAAGGAAACACCTGCATAACAACTGAGAAATTCTCTGAGATTTTTAATGATTTGGTAAGCCAGTAGACAACCCCTCCAAACTCTACACTCGCAAAACAGGTATTTCTTGTACAACACCTAGCACAACTGGAGTCTGAGATGACTGCGATCCTGAAGGTCACTGCAATGGAAGCATCAACATCCACCAACAAAATCGTCATTTGGCTGCTATACCTACGACTGGATTTGCACCATCTGCAAAAGTCTTGAATAAACATATTCTAGGTCTGCAGAATATTACAATCCCATCTGTAAGCATGCCAAGGAAATACATCAGGCAATGCCTGTTAACATGATAACAGGATAAGACACGGCCACATTCTATGAAAATTAAAGAGGTTAAGATGCAGTTATGCTCTGGATCACTGGAAATCAGTCATTTTTCATAAGCAACAAGTGTTTAAAAAAAATGCATACTTACTATAAACTCTCTGAAACTGTTACCATTTGTCCTTTTCATTTTTTTTTTTGTTTGTTTGTTTTTAAGAAAATATAGTAATTTACAGTTGGAACACAAAATTAATTTCACTAGGACAGAAAACACGGGTCACTTTTCAGTGCAAGTTTATTAGGTGTCTATTAGTAACATAACAGGTAAAACAAACAAAAATCACTTAGATTTTATGTATTTGATTCTTGATGTCCCTGTCTCTTGCAGCAAGTTGTTTAATGCAACGTGTATTGAAATGCCCTGTCCTTTGTAACAGGACATGGCTCTCCCTGTGTGTAGGACTACAACTAGAAGCCCAGTGTGTGAGTGGCAGTCTTTTTCATGACAGCTACGTGCATAGTCAATGTGGAATATTGCTCCTTTCGGCCTAGACCCTTTTCTTTGATTAACTGAATAATAACTCAGAATGCAAGACTGCCGGGTGCACAGCCTTGCAGTAAGGATTTTCGCACGAATTTCTGCTACAAGGTCGGGAGCATAGGGTGGAACAGAGGGTTCAGGGGTGGCAGGACTCCAATGAACCATGAATAATGCAGTGCTATGATGTAGCAGGACCAGTATTTTCAGGAGATCTGAAGAAGTATCAGTGCCGCCGCATAAGGTATCAGTAAACCTCAGACAAGGCATGGTGCATGTTTCTAGTCGTTTGTGTTAAAAAATGTGCACAGGTACAGAAGATGGCTAGTGGGGTGACCATGGGAGTAAAAATTCTGTTTTACCAGAGGTTCAAAGAAATGAGGACTGTGATTACCCTCTGTAAATACATATGAAGAGTAGGTACCAGGGAGAGACAAAGCTATTCAAGTTAAATGATAATACTGGTCCAGGGTCAAAATAGTGCAATTTCTCCTCAGCCAGGCAATTATAATAGGGTTTCTAACTCGTGGATGGATGAAGATATGGAACAGCCTTTCAGACAAGATAATAGCAGAGGCACCTGAAGTTATTTCAAGAAGAAACTTGCTTAAATCATGGCAGGAAAAGATAACAGCAAAGAAGTGATTCTGAATATTATCAACATGTTTACTATCCTTCTTCTACTATTTATACTGGCTTACCTAATTAATCCCACTGTTCAGGGCTTTTGATGGTCATGTATGACTAAGAAGGAACTGATTTCCTCCCTTTACTTCTGAGACTTTTTCACTCCTTTCTCTTAATTATCAAAAAAAATTGCTACAGCTTGAGACAGGAATCTGGTAAGATCATTAATAAATGACTAACTAATAACCTGTATAATAAACTAAAAGCATCACTTTTCCTTTCCTTTCAAACTTGGAATCAGTGATAGAAGTGGAAATGCACAAATTAAGTTTTTTTACGTAGAGAAAGTCTGACAATGTCTCTTTCCAGTCAATAGGCACTAATAAAATACTTTTCAAATGTTTTACTCATTTTTATCTTTTTAAGAAATCTGGGATCCATATTTTGAGTCTAAACAACACGAGAATAATCTATTACATGTGGAGTCCTGATGCTAAAAATATGGTGAAAAAAGACTTGTTGTGGGAGAGCTGTGACAGACGATTACGACGGCATTCTTGAAAGAAGAAAAAACACTTGCAGCTCCCACAGGAAAAAGTGACTTATTTGGAAACAAAGGAGGATGCAATAGCTTTTCCTCTATCCCATCAGCAGCTTCTGTCCAAGAGAGAATTACCTTAAGATACTAATGTGTGTTGAGAAAGCTCACAGGTGGAATGTGTCTCTAAAGCCTGCTGGTTTGTTTCTCCTATACATCTCCTCTTATAACCATATCCTCACTCAGCAGATGTGTCTGCCAAGCCAGTACACTCTGGACTTACGTTGACTTGGAAGTGAGAAGGAAACCGCTGTCAGGAGCATTAAGAAACATTATAAATAGGGAGCTGCTCTCCCTGCATTTTAGCATTAACACAGTGCCCACAGACCATCCTGATGCAGCCATTGGCATCGACCTTAATCGCTGCACTTTGCTCAACTCCTTCATTAAACTCTATTAATAAAAAAAAAGAGCGATGTGAAGGATTCAGCTTCCCCCAAGAGTTTGGGTTGACATTCTTTCCCTGCTGATCTAAAGGGAAAGAAAAACATATCGAGAAGTAATTTTTAAAACAACTGTATTAAAGGTCTGGCCTCCTGTTCCTTTGGGGATTGCAACTCCCTCTGCTGTGTGAGAGTCCTGGATGCACATTTCTCCCATCCTGCTGCCTGATAAACTAAAATGGCTTCAAAGGCAGCATTTTTTGCAGCATTCCTTTTAGTCAATTAAGAAGATACCGATGAATTCCAGTGAGAAAATTCAAAGCTGAGAATGTCACATCTCCTTTAGCTCTGTTTTGCAAATGATCAGCAAAGATAGATTCTGAATCTCCACAGTGGCAGCGGCTGGGCCATACATCATAAATACCTTATTTTTTACCAAAAATATGTCTCTTCGGCAAGCAAAATGGTTGTGGCCTTACAAAACTGTGCCTACCACCATAAATGGGAGGGGAGGGGAGGGGAGG